ACAGAGCCTCACTGCAGGGACAGAGCCTCACCGTGGGGACAGAGCCTCACTGCAGGGACAGAGCCTCACTGTGGGGACAGAGCCTCACTGCAGGGACAGAGCCTCACCGTAGGGACAGAGCCTCACTGCAAGGCCTCCAGAGCGCTCTTCAGATTCCCTGTTAGAGACCAGCCCCTGCTCCCTGGCCACCATCCCTGTAACAAGCATCCTCATCGGGGAACCCGGCATCCAGCCCTGGGCCTGGGGAACATGGCAGGGCAGACACATCACCTGAGGTGGCCCCCAAGGTGCACACTTGGTTTGATGGGCCTGAGGGCGGCCCCCAGTTGGCACTGCTCGCAGGTGCCCTGGGCCCCTCTAATCACACACAGGTGACCCAGACACCACTCGGCTGCCATCCAGTCCCTGCCAATGACAGTGACCATGAACCTCACAGAGCTGGACCGCTCCCCGGGTCACGCACTGTGTCTCCATGGGAGTGGACCGCCAGGCCTTCCTCTGTGGCTCTGCCAGGTGGGGCTGGACTGACCACCTTTAGGTTCGGGGCCTAAGGCTGACTGAGTGTTGTGTGTGGAATCAGAGCTGACCCCTAGCTGACCCTCCGGTGGGTTTTCAGAGGCGGTAAATCACACAACAGGCCCATCCTCCTCCAGTGGAGCAACTGGGGATTCGAACCAGGTACCTGTGTGTTGGCAGCACAGTTCCTTAACTATGAGGCCCCAAGACTAGGTGGAATGGATTTCCAGAGGCGCTGCCCAGCCACATGTCGAGCTAGCGTGCAGGCCGCCCGGTCACCATGAGCCGAGCTAGCGTGCAGGCCGCCGGTCACCACGAGCCGAGCTAGCGTGCAGGCCGCCGGTCACCACGTGCCGAGCTAGTGTGCAGGCCGCCGGTCACCACGTGCCGAGCTAGTGTGCAGGCCGCCGGTCACCATGTGTCGAGCTAGCGTGCAGGCCGCTGGTCACCACGTGCCGAGCTAGCGTGCAGGCTGCCCGGTCACCATGTGCCGAGCTAGCGTGCAGGCCGCCGGTCACCACGAGCCGAGCTAGCGTGCAGGCCGCCGGTCACCATGTGCCGAGCTAGCGTGCAGGCTGCCCGGTCGCCATGTGCCGAGCTAGCG